CACCTTCGTTTGAAGATTCCGGGTCTCCAGGGCGGAAGGTTGGAGCTTTTCTTTGAAATTCCGTATTCATTATTATTGTCGCTCTTTAACCCCCGAAGTTCCGGCACAACGCCGGCTGCACACCATCGCCATGAACCGGCTTCCTGATGGCGCGAGGCCTATGGAAGTCTTGACAAGGTGACAACACTGGAGGGCAACTGGGAGACAGGAACAGGGCGTTGTCAGCCTATAACAGGAAGTGGCCTCACAAGGACCTTCAGTCTTCTATCTGACCTCCGTCCTTCCCTTCAGTCTTCTATCTGACCTCCGTCCTCCCCTTCAGTCTTCTATCTGACCTCCGTCCTCCCCTTCACTCTTCTATCTGACCTCCGTCCTTCCCTTCAGTCTTCTATCTGACCTCCGTCCTTCCCTTCAGTCTTCTATCTGACCTCCGTCCTCCCTTCAGTCTTCTATCTGACCTCCGTCCTCCCCTTCAGTCTTCTATCTGACCTCCGTCCTGCCCTTCAGTCTTCTATCTGACCTCCGTCCTTCCCTTCAGTCTTCTATCTGACCTCTGTTCTTCCCTTCAGTCTTCTATCTGACATATACAGTATATAGATATATATACAATACAGAAACCGCCACTAGAGGGAGCGCCTGCAGATCTTTATCATATCTCCATCCAGAATGGGGCAGCTCAGGAGAAGTATAATTTCTGTCGGGGTTCTGTGACCGCATTCGGTGACCACATTCAGGACAGGAAGTGACAGAGAATCTTTCCATGGGGGACACAGACAAAAAAAAAACCACCATTGTACTAAGGTGGGAAAGGGTTAGAAATGGTGACAATATATATATTTCTGTCTGTGCCTTCATGCCGTGGTGACAAACCCCATTTCTTATACGGGTGTCACAAGCACAGGAAGTCAGGAAAATCTCTCCAATGGGGACACAGACCCAAAAAAAAAAAAAACCTGATAAAAAATGTAAACTGCATTTTCTGAGCTGCACACGGGAGATACCAGAGAGACGCGCTGCACCTCGTGCCTCATCAGCAAGACTGTCCCAGCTAATGACACCGTGCCCTCCCTTGTCTGGCGGTGACAGGTAGACATTAGGCCGCCATAGCTCAAAAGATTGCCGTCATCGCGGTAGAAAATGGCACAAACCGCCTACTACACCTTTCTTCCCAAGATTGACAGCGCAGCAAATGGAGGGTGTGAGTCTTAAAGGGGCACTCCATGTGGGGGACTTCAGTGGTGAGATCTTCCCCCTCATAGTTCTCCTCACCTTCTCAGTGTTGGAGAGATCCCTGATACTGGGGGCAGAGGGGGGGATCATCGGGCACCACA